CTGAGTTAGATTATTAAATTCTGCACATTACTTTTGGCAAACATGATACCATCAGAAGAATTTTCCCCAGAAACAAATGGTCCTTTACAGGCCACATCCCCAGAAAATACAATGCTCAATTTCAGTATGTCAACTGCCCATTCAGCAGTTACAAATACTAATGCGACGACATTCTGCCTTACAAATTCTAAAGATTCAAGTCTCTACCTCAATCAGTTGAATCTCTGTACTATTTCTTTCTCACTCACTGTTTATATGATATTGCTACACTTGAGTAAGTTTCACATTGGTCCAAAAATCGAAATTATGGAACAATACTCAATGCCAAAAGGAATTCTTGAACATCTGATAACTTAAAAACCACAAAACAATTCAATTGTAAAAAAAACAGTCTTGTTCCATGATATCTTTGAAGAGACTACAAAATTATAAGAGAAACTAGACAACAGAAAAATTCATAAGTGACAACCCAATGCTCTAAAGTTTAGAGTCTAAACAAACATGTAAAAAACCGTCACAACAAACCACATTTATACCAAATCAGAACAAATGACAACGATTAAATTTGTGTAGAATAAGCGACTTAGTATTTCTACACAAAGGTGGAATAATTAGAAGCAAAAGCACTTGATGAAAATGGAACATTAACACAGCTATAGTACACGTGGTGGATAAATCACTATTAAGGCACATGAGTGATCCTGTTACATGGGAAGGGAAACCACCGACCAAGTGGCTGACTATATCGCAACTACGCTAACAACCCGACAAGCATTTCAAATAACAGGGTCTCTTCCAAATGCAACTAAATATTGAGGTTTGTGTTTTGCTCATGTGTACCAGTACATGGTCATATTACAATTTGAAACTATCAACCTACGCTTTCCTTTAAGGGACATTATACCAAATCTTTACTTTAATGTAATACCTCTGTATTCAACATGAAAGTAAATGAACAAGAATAGAAAATTGATTATAAACTTCCAATATCACATGACACTTGTTAAGAACGATACATATTTATGAAACAATGTACAATGCATCTTACAGTATATGTACATAAAAGCAGGATGTTATACTGTCACCTACTTTGTCAAAAACTGAATCGTACATGATGCCTCACAGATCGAGAACAATTCTGACTTATACAGAATACTACGAATAACATAGTTAATTTCACAAGGACACATGTATTTTCAACATACACTGAAACACTATTTCCAAACAATAACTTCTATTGAACTAAGAATGAAACAGAAATCTGAATGCCATTCACACATTCATGTGCAAGTTCTACTTAGACTTTACTGTCTGTGCAATGCAGCTCACACGTGCTTCAACCGTTCTTGTGTCACATTCGCATACCGCTGAACCATCAACTTGGAACTAAAGTCTGGCCAGCACCCCTGTAATATGGAGATTTAAATCCCCGATTCCCATACAATATCGGTTAATAAACAGAGAATAATAGGTTGGACATAATGTCTTTGGTTATGTTACCATATAACAATTACATATAAAATGTCTTAGATACACAATACACTATTGTAAATGGTTCATACTGCTCAGTGTTTCAAAATGTTTCCCCCATCCATAGTACTGATACTGTTCACTCTGATATTATTTCCATAAACTGCATATTAATGTCTGAAATCTAAAAATTATAATGAAAAGATTAATACATAAGCATACAAAATTCATCTCTTACAAAAAGTAAAAAAAAATCTTGCAACACATTCACAGTAGGTTTTCAGACAGCAATACCCAGGCAGAAAACCTCTCGACTAAATGGCAAAATAATAGCGACAGATAATTATTGTCATTCTGAATTCTATTTCACAAGATGAGAAATATTAAATGACTGATTTTAAGTTCTGAAACTCCTATGTCAAATTAAATGCACAAATACAATAAAATCCATTTATAGAGTTTTGTGGGGTCAAGAACACTGCATGTGAAAAAATGCTACAGGTGGTAAATATTCCGTTCTATAATTCACAGAAAATCTGGTCTGTACATTAAAACATAGAGCATAACTAAAGGCATGTTGTAAAGGTACCAAACCATACACTGAATTTGAAATCCTACAACAGCTTGGTAAAATAAAAGTTGTAATAAAAAATCTGAAACTAACTTCACAGACTGCTTATGAGACCAATTCAGGTGGACCTTCAAGAACGTGAGTGCAATGATGAAACATTGAATGATCCGACTTAGATTTTAGACCAATGGTAAGTTTCAGTGTTGAACGACTGGGTTTTATGTACATCAGTTACTCTGCAGGTAAACTGCCATCTGTACTGCTTAAAATTTAACACAATTAACCTCAATTTACTGATGAGAAATAAAAGAGTATAAACTATGACCACTAAATGTTTCATGTTACAGACAAAACTCATCAGTAATTAAGATATTTATTTCTCTGGTCCCAATACCACTTGCCTAAGCTTACATTTTTTCAATAATAATAATTTTGTTCATATTTTATTAACAGATTACTGATAAACTCAACTGTAATTTAAAGGACATGACCTTTTATGATAAAAAGAATTGAATAATCAGTACAAATAATTTGTATGTACTTAATCGAATGAAATGTTTGATGCAAGCATAAAAGTAAACACACAATGTATGCATGTATGTGTAGGTAAATCATCTGAAAATATACGTAACAGTACTAGTTTTTAATGGTCAGTGGAAAACCTAACACCAAGAATAAAGACTGTGCCATTTATTTATTTACTGACTGTATCAACAAGTATTATTCTGTAATATTTTACACTGACTTTATGTTAAAATTTTTATCTAAAAATTAATCTTCAAATCTGCATCACCGCCATGAAAACCGCAAATCCTACTACATCATTTTATTTTCATTTGTAGTGTATCAAGCTCTTTTTAGTATTTTTCTGCCATTCCATAGAGCAAGTAAATGTTACTTCAGATTACTGGTATATCTCATGTCAAGAGCTTTTCTGTCCTTGAGGTTTGGCCAACTCTGTAATAAATACACAAAGTAAACACCAACAGCTGAAGATGGGTATATACTTGTATACACATTCTAAAATGAGTGCCATTCTTTACGGCATAGCACTGGAGTGGCAGACTTAAATTAAAATGCCTCAGTCAACCTACGTTTGCAAATGTTTCATTATGTAGTATAGCATTATCTTACAAGGTCCAGGATGAAGGACTGAATGAAGGAACATTATTACATAGTAATAAAGATTTTTTGTAACCACCATCTGTTATAAGATACTGATGAAAGTACAAGCTTTTATAGATCACAGCTTGACGCAAAAATAAGTCTGGCACGCACTGTATATACTAGGAGCATTGCAAATACTGTCTGCACAATCCTCCAGTCAAGTTGTATGGGGTATCAACATCATGAAATTGAAGTGACAGAAGCTTCAAGAACATGACTGACCAATAATACAGTACTCTGTATCAGATGACAGAACAATAAAATACCATCATGCAACAAACATTCCCAACTGTTCCCATATGCCTTATACAATGAGTTTGCTATATCTCCATAATACATTCAGGATATATGTTGACTAACACTTTTCTACTTAGTCTGGCATTGCTTGTGCCAATATGACTAAAAGAAATGACACTTAACTTCATAAATCTATGCACACACACATTTATTCTTTCCAGATTGGAACCATTTACCACACTGCAACTTTGACAAACAGTGACTGAGATTACACCTAAGAATCACTTCACAAAAGTTGTTCCATCCATGCATGTCACACAATCTGTCCGAGTGCTAAGAAGTGACATGGAAATATTCATGGTAACACTTAGAATATTTTTTTTAAAAAAAAGCAATGCAAAACTATGGAAGAAGCTGAACCTAATGACAGAAAGTAATATATATATATATATACACACATACATAATATCTATTCTAAATTAAATTAATAGCTGTCTAAAAAATGCAACAAAACAAATTCAGCTGTCCATTACAATGGTACTAAAGCCTTGTATTAACTTATTACTTCAGAGCCTTCACCATGTCACTTCTAAAGCAAAGTAAATGACAAATATGTGTCAATATGTAGAAAATCACATCCGCATTCTTATTTGGCCTCTTCTTCTGTATTGGTATCAGATGACTTGGATTCTGATTTTCCATTTTCATCACCAGTTGGCAATCCATCAGCTTCATTTCCTACAGATGAAGAAGAGGGCTCTGTCTTAACAACCCCAGAAATGACCTCAGGCTCATCATCTCCCAAAGTAGTGACGGTAGTACCCCCTGAAGTATTAGCTTTCTCTCCTGCATTTTCCTCTTCATGTTGAGAAGAAGTAGCGCCTTTCCTCAATGTTTCTGCTTGCTTCTCTAACCTGGATGACCGCTTCTTCTGCACCTCCTTGGGCTGAACATCATGTTCTGGCATTATCAAATATGGAGTGGTCTCATTCATGTCAGTCATGAATACCTAATATCATTCAACAAAATATATCACACTGCTGCAAAAACACATTCAAAAAGGCATCCTTTACTTCATATTTTATAGCTCCAAATGTATATATCATAAATATTTTTCTTATGATTTCAGCTTTCAATACTTATATCAAATTGGTGAACAGATGTGTATATTTAATTAATTCACATTTTATCTGATGTAAGCTACACTTAACAAAACCAATAAAGAGTAAATCAAATCACCGAGCAGCAATTTAAACTTAGTATTTTCAGTATTACAGCAGTGGGGCTGCATTTACCCTTACGTATTAACTTCAAGGCAACCAGATAATAAACAGGGCCAATTTATCAAAACTTCACTGCAATTTATAAAAGATGCTACTAATATGCTTTTTTGAACAGGTTCAATACAGAGATACCTGACACTACTTTCGCACAATTTCTTAATAACAGGTTTAATTTCCGATGCAATTCGCTTGAATCCCTCTAAGTGTTTGTCAGTAAAATATGTCCAACATCCTAAATGGACATTCTTCATTAAGCTAAATAGTTATTTACATGTAACCACCATCTGTTATAAGATACTGATGAAAGTACAAGCTTTTATAGATCACAGCTTGACGCAAAAATAAGTCTGGCACGCACTGTATATACTAGGAGCATTGCAAATACTGTCTGCACAATCCTCCAGTCAAGTTGTATGGGGTATCAACATCATGAAATTGAAGTGACAGAAGCTTCAAGAACATGACTGACCAATAATACAGTACTCTGTATCAGATGACAGAACAATAAAATACCATCATGCAACAAACATTCCCAACTGTTCCCATATGCCTTATACAATGAGTTTGCTATATCTCCATAATACATTCAGGATATATGTTGACTAACACTTTTCTACTTAGTCTGGCATTGCTTGTGCCAATATGACTAAAAGAAATGACACTTAACTTCATAAATCTATGCACACACACATTTATTCTTTCCAGATTGGAACCATTTACCACACTGCAACTTTGACAAACAGTGACTGAGATTACACCTAAGAATCACTTCACAAAAGTTGTTCCATCCATGCATGTCACACAATCTGTCCGAGTGCTAAGAAGTGACATGGAAATATTCATGGTAACACTTAGAATATTTTTTTTAAAAAAAAGCAATGCAAAACTATGGAAGAAGCTGAACCTAATGACAGAAAGTAATATATATATATATATACACACATACATAATATCTATTCTAAATTAAATTAATAGCTGTCTAAAAAATGCAACAAAACAAATTCAGCTGTCCATTACAATGGTACTAAAGCCTTGTATTAACTTATTACTTCAGAGCCTTCACCATGTCACTTCTAAAGCAAAGTAAATGACAAATATGTGTCAATATGTAGAAAATCACATCCGCATTCTTATTTGGCCTCTTCTTCTGTATTGGTATCAGATGACTTGGATTCTGATTTTCCATTTTCATCACCAGTTGGCAATCCATCAGCTTCATTTCCTACAGATGAAGAAGAGGGCTCTGTCTTAACAACCCCAGAAATGACCTCAGGCTCATCATCTCCCAAAGTAGTGACGGTAGTACCCCCTGAAGTATTAGCTTTCTCTCCTGCATTTTCCTCTTCATGTTGAGAAGAAGTAGCGCCTTTCCTCAATGTTTCTGCTTGCTTCTCTAACCTGGATGACCGCTTCTTCTGCACCTCCTTGGGCTGAACATCATGTTCTGGCATTATCAAATATGGAGTGGTCTCATTCATGTCAGTCATGAATACCTAATATCATTCAACAAAATATATCACACTGCTGCAAAAACACATTCAAAAAGGCATCCTTTACTTCATATTTTATAGCTCCAAATGTATATATCATAAATATTTTTCTTATGATTTCAGCTTTCAATACTTATATCAAATTGGTGAACAGATGTGTATATTTAATTAATTCACATTTTATCTGATGTAAGCTACACTTAACAAAACCAATAAAGAGTAAATCAAATCACCGAGCAGCAATTTAAACTTAGTATTTTCAGTATTACAGCAGTGGGGCTGCATTTACCCTTACGTATTAACTTCAAGGCAACCAGATAATAAACAGGGCCAATTTATCAAAACTTCACTGCAATTTATAAAAGATGCTACTAATATGCTTTTTTGAACAGGTTCAATACAGAGATACCTGACACTACTTTCGCACAATTTCTTAATAACAGGTTTAATTTCCGATGCAATTCGCTTGAATCCCTCTAAGTGTTTGTCAGTAAAATATGTCCGACATCCTAAATGGACATTCTTCATTAAGCTAAATAGTTATTTACAACAAGTCCCGCGCCGTAGCCGCGCGGTCTGAGGCATCATGCTTTGGACCAGCGATATGGAATGCGCGCTGGTTCGAGTCTCGGGGGAGAAGAAATTTTCTCATGAGCTTTTGACCAGTGTATGGGACCAGTGCCAACCCAGCATCGTGAGGAAATTGGGGAGCTACAATGAGTATCGTAATCCGGTCAGGAAAGCTAGCAATGGCTGGGGGTTCGTCGTGCTGACCACACGTCACCCTATATCTGGCTGGATGATCATTCACCTCTGCTTAGGCATGTGAACATGAGGCCAGCACTCAAGCTAGTCGGCTTTGGCTCCCTGGAGCTGTTAAGCCACGGATTTAATTTTTAGTTATTTACAACAATAGGCACAGCCAAATACTGACAACATTAACAAATAATATTTTATGAAATCAGCCAAATATTTTTCATCAACAGTGACACATTACTGCAAATAATGGGCCACACAAAACACATAGGCAAACCACAGGTGGCCTACAGGTCAAGAACTACTGAATTCAAGCATTAACGAGTCAGTCAGTATGAATGTGACATACATCAATTTATCCCATGAATAAGAAATAGTAAAAGCCCGAAGTACCTTGACAAGATGCATAGCATCAACAGGTTTGTTTCCTTTCCTAGCAAGAGCAAGATTATGTTTGTGCATCTTGTTCATGCGTGCCTCTTTGGGACTGTAATAATACCCTGGGTACTTGCGCTTGTGCTCCTCATCTGCTTGGCGTGAGGCTGTATAGTATTTTTCTTTTGCATCAGCTGACAAGTTTTTCCACATCACCCCCAGTCGTACAGAGATCTCCTTGTTACTCTCCGCTGAAACATAATTCAAAGTAACATTACAAGCTACACATATATCATTACTATCTTTCACATTGTAGAACAAGTCGTCCTGGGCAAAATAATGATTGCTGACACTAGAGGTGCTCTCATTTAAAAAACCACCACAACTGTCACGACATAAACATTGTAGTTTTCTTCTTATCTTACTATAAAAATTTGTGATTAGTCGTTGTCTTCAACCAATTTGTCTTCAAAAAATGACGTCATCAACAATGCTAACAGATATTTGTTTACTCGACATTGTTGTGGAACACAACAATGCCGTGTAAACAAATATATGTTGGCATTGTTGAAGTTGACACAACAATGCCAAGTAAACAAATAACGCTTCACAACAAAGAAATCAAAAAATATCAAGCCAGTCGCATTATCACTGCTCCAGAAGGAGCACTTCGCATTCTTGAATAATGACTGACATTTGGCCTAAAACATCAGAAAAGTGAAAGAAGACGTTATCAAGTATTTGAAGTACCAACTCCAACAACTTCAACAAGGTAAACTGATACGCATTCGATATATTACGATTACGAAAACCATTATGAAAACTGACTTTATGATCGATTTTAAGACGAAGATTTGCAGGGGTGGGGCTGGACGTAAAAAGTTGACTAAACAAGAACTGTTGACTTCTGAACAGCGACGTAAAGAACTACAACATCAGACATTTAAGAAATAAAGAAAAGCGAAAAAAGACATTGATAAACGAGACCATATTAACGACACACTTAGAAAAACAGACGAAGATTTGCAAAGGTGGGGTTGGACGTAGAAAGTTGACTGAACAAGAACTGTTGACTTCTGAACAGCGACGTAAAGAACTACAACATCAGACATTTAAGAAATAAAGAAAAGCGAAAAAAGACTTACATTGATAAACGAGACCATATTAACGACACACTTAGAAAAACAGACGAAGATTTGCAAAGGTGGGGTTGGACGTAGAAAGTTGACTGAACAAGAACTGTTGACTTCTGAACAGCGACGTAAAGAACTACAACATCAGACATTTAAGAAATAAAGAAAAGCGAAAAAAGACTTACATTGATAAACGAGACCATATTAACGACACACTTAGAAAAACAGACGAAGATTTGCAAAGGTGGGGTTGGACGTAGAAAGTTGACTGAACAAGAACTGTTGACTTCTGAACAGCGACGTAAAGAACTACAACATCAGACATTTAAGAAATAAAGAAAAGCGAAAAAAGACTTACATTGATAAACGAGACCATATTAACGACACACTTAGAAAAACAGACGAAGATTTGCAAAGGTGGGGTTGGACGTAGAAAGTTGACTGAACAAGAACTGTTGACTTCTGAACAGCGACGTAAAGAACTACAACATCAGACATTTAAGAAATAAAGAAAAGCGAAAAAAGAC